TATTGGATCAGTATCAGCCAGTATGCCTGGTTAATAATTGGCTTTCAGTATCAGCCAAGAAAATCTTTATTGGTGAACCCCTAGTGTCTACAGTATTCTTCTTTAAAAAGATTTACTTTAAAGAAAATATAGCGGCTTTTCATTTTTGTGTGATGTACCACAACACAGAATGTTCAAGTGTGTTATAATCTATTTAATCAAGAAAGCACCGAGTAATATAGGGTCTCTATCACACCAGTTTTGATACTGGTATATCAGTTTATTTAAAAAGCCAAAACAAGTTGCATTAGTTATAGGTTTTCATTCCCTCTGAGTTATATAGTGATGACTTTCTACATATATAGTATGCCACTTAAAAATCCATCCATCCACAAGCTCCAGGCTAATATGAAATAAATTGAATAATAAGATGGAGTATAAAAACTGTAAAGATTTTTTTGTTTGTTTTATTTTAAGGTAGCAATACTAAAATTGCTAACAAAGGAATTGGAGAACTGGTATGACTTCTGTAATACTCAGAGGACATACCTATCCATGCATTAAAAAACCTTTACATAAAGGATATGCCAATTGTCAAACTCCTGTGACTAATGGCATGACTCACGAGATAGTCATCTTTGAAAACAACTATTTTTGCTTCTTTGTGCATGGACTAGCCAAATAAAAAATGGTTAATTCCACATTCATACCTTGGCCTTACATATGAAATGCAAGATTAATAAAGCATTAACTGAAAAAGTCTACTATAAGGACCTACCTGATTACTAAGCAAGATTTGATTTCCACCACAATACAAAGAGTCACAAAGGGTATCTAAATCAGTATCCAAATTGGACAGAAAAAGAGACTGCTCTTGAGAAGACACCGCTAATTGATCCTGCACTGAAACAGTGTCCTGCTTTAATTTCTGAGCCTCGTGTTCCAGACCTTCATGCGTTCTAAACAATTGTTGTTTCTGATCCTCCCCTTCCAAGAGCCGGTATAATCTACAAAAAAGGAAAAAAAAAATCTCAGCTAGCATTCCGACCATCAACTGATCGATCAAAAGAGTACTTCTGTATACAAGGAAGAGTCAGAAGAACTGGATTTTTTAAAAACTAAGAGAGAGAGAGAGACTGGGAGATCTGATAACCTTCAAATACAAAAAGAATTGTTATAAAGATGAACAGCTATTGGGTCTACGTGGGACAAAACAAGCAGTAATTGGCTTAAAATGAAACAAAGAAGATTTAAGTCAGGGGTGGCCAATTATTTGACCCCACTCCCTGCAACAGTTCACCAAAACTCCTTAAGTGGCCTTCCAGCCCACATAATTGCCCACCCCTAGGCAGAGAGAACAAAGGTAAGGGGAACTGAACCTTTGTTTCCCCCTTCTCCCTGTACCACTCCCCCATCCTGAGCCCCAGCACGTGGCCGGGCTGGTGCTGTGCTGTATTCCCACGTGCTGCCTCAGGACACACAGATGCAGCTCCTGCTGGACCCGGCCGCCTGCCTGGGACCAAGAGCAGGGGAAGGGGCTGCAGGGAGAAAGGGACTGGGACCTGCAGGTTATCCAGAGCTGACCTGACTGGTGCCACGCTGTTTTCCCCCTTCACCCCCCACCCCACCCCAAGTCCCCAGCACACGGCCAGCCAGTGCTGCACTGTGTTCCCACACGCTGTTTCAAGCCATGTGGGTACAGCTGGTGTGGCTCCTACCCAACCCAGTCGCGTGCCAGGGACTTGGGGTTGGGCAGGGCAGCAGCGCACGGGAACACAGTGCGCATGTGCAGCAGAGCTTGCCAAGTCAGCAGCTGCCCCCATGGCACTCCGCATGGGGCCAAGCCCCACCCAGAGCAGTCCATACTGTGCTCTTGCCCACACCCGCTGGCCCCAGGCGCACACAATTTCTGGGGGAGCTGTTCCTAGCAGGACTGCAGCCAACTAGGCTCACATTACCACTGGGAGGCAAGGGGTGCTGTCGGCTGGGTGCTGCTCTGCTGCCACACAGGGAACAGCCCCACTGGAAGCTTTGTGTGCAGGCAGGGCCCAAGCCAGCAGGGCTGTTCTGCTCCCCTTGCCTCCAGCTGTGGCTGATGACCCTGCCCCTGCCACGCCACTCTGGGCAGGCAAGCAGGGAAGCTTTAGCTGCACAGCTCCTGTCCAGTGCACGGACCTCTGGCTCCAGTTCCCAGCCATCTTCCACCCACCCCACCTGCCCACAGGTGGCTGCCAATTGTGTTGGGTGGGTGGAGCAGGTGGAAGGCAGCTGGGAGCTCCACACACTGGGCAGGAGCCACCTGGCTAAAGCTTCCCACCCACAGTGATGTGACAGGGGCAGGAGCAGCCAGAGGGGAAGGGAAGGGAAGGGAACAGAACAGCTGTGCCAGCCCAAGCCAGCCCAGCACACAGCTACCAGTGGGACTGTTCCTGGTGCAGCTGCAGCCGGCTGGGTAATGCTCTGCTCCCCTCGCCTTGTGGTGGCTCCTCCTCTCACTCCTGCCCCTACGGCACCACTTTGGGCGGGCAGGCAGGGAATAACCTCCAGCTGGGCACTTCCGGCTGGAGGTGAGGGGAGCAGAGCAACAGCCAGCCAGCTGCAGCCACACAGGGAACAGCCACACTAGAAGCTATGCACTGGCAAGGGCCCAGCCTGGCGAGCACCACCAGCATGCAGTGGACTGCCCTGGCAGGGGTGAGTGGGGTTTGGCCCCATGTGAAGCACTGCGAGGGCAGCTGCAGGCCAGATCCAGTCACTTGGCAAGCTGGATCCGGCCCACGGGCCATAGTTTGTCCACCCCTGTTCTAATATATACCATTATTCCCAGTAATGGTAGCAACAGCATCATGGATTTGGCCTTAAACATTAATACCATCCACAATGCCTGACTTAAGGTTGTAACGTGAGAGAACAGACAGAGGGACAAATTGTTTTTAAGCTACCGTTACATCTTAAAAAAACAGCACAAGCAAGTGGTAGGTCTTTCATTCCGTGTGTGCACCCCAGATGAGTTACAGCTTCTCAGTAAGCTGCTGCAAGAACTTTATTATGGAAGCTATTAGACAATCTAACCCTAGGGGTCTCGCACAGGTCCTCAGTAGTACTTTAGAGATCCGAATTCAACAATGACTGCATAATACTTACCTGTGAGAGGCATCATCCCTCGAATCAATTGTGTTCCTTGGAAATGTATGCTGAGATATAAGAGGGTCAGACATCATCTCCAGTCTCTGCTCCAATGCTTTACTATACTGTTTCAGATCTTGTATCAGTTTTTCAAGCTGACAATGGATATCACGATGTTTCTTCAATTCAATTTCATAAGCTAGCTGAAGAAATTCAAATGATGCTTTCTGTTTTATTAGTTGGTCACATACACGATCTTGTCTTGATGTATAGTAATCTTGTCGAGCAATCTGCAGATCAAAATCCCCTTTCACCACAGGCATATTCAATAGTTGTGCATTCTCCTTCACGAGGGCAGGCAGAGTTTCATTGTTTATTTGAGTCAGATGTTTTTTTATTGATGAAATTTCACTGTTTAAGCTAGAGATTCTAGTTTCAAGGTGTTCTTCTCCAATAATCTACATAAATGCACAAAAATGTTTCAAAATGGATTGAGGCCACCTAACATTTTTAGTCACTCTTCTCCCTAAAGTTTTCCAGTTCCCCAAGGAATTTGGAGTTTAATACAGTGTTCATGCAGTTACCAAGGTAAGGGAAAGCTAGCTTACAACAAGGTTCAAAACATTAGTATTTAAGAACAACCATGCTTTTGGTAGGTTTTTCAGGGATGCGTTCATGCTAAGGGGCCTCTAAAGATGTCATCCTAAATTATGCTAACTTCTTTGTTCTGCTACTAAAAACAAGAGACTTTAGTAAGAATAAGCATAAACATTCCTATTCCTTTATTTTTTTTAACCAGCCAAGTTGACCATAGATGATAGATCTGGACAACTTTTACTAAATATAAACCAACTATAGTACAAGATTTTAAGCTTTATGACATCAGCAATACATTTTCCACTAGATTAGACGGAAAGAAAAAGAGGGAATGAAAGAATAAAGCCTACCAAAAATACCAGTCTCAGTGGCAGTACTTTTTAGTAGTTACAAAAATCTATCATTTCATCACTCCTTTGCATGTAGTACTTTCCATCAGTAGGATGGCTCTGATTAAGTGTCTCTATGCTCACAAGCCAACCAGACTCCCTTGGACCCTTTCACAAAAGCATCCAACAGGCACCCAAGCCTGACTCCTCTCAGGCATCCAGGCTTCTCCCCCAACCCCAGAAGAAAGAGTCCATGATGACAATTAAAGAACCACATAACACATAAAATAGGGCGATTGCTCTGAGCAAGACAGAGAGACAATACAAAAAAGCCCCTCCTGTTTTGATTGAAACAAATCTGTATGTGATTGAATGAAGATCATTTGCAAACAACTTGCTTTCCGAGTCCTGACAATGAATACTGTATTTACCTGAATCCAAGATGACTTTGAATTTAAGCTGACCTTCCAAATAATAATTGTTATAATTTTCCATGTATAGAGTCTAATTAGGGGAAAATCATCTTAAATTCATCCCCTACCCTGCTGTAGTGGGAAAGCAGCAGGGGACAAAGGATCAGATCAACCCTGCCACATGCACCCTACCATGCACCCATCTGCCCCTCCATGCCTGTGTTTGCTCCCCCTGCCTGCCCCTGCCCCCCCCCCCAGCACTTTAACCTCTGTGCCTGCCTCCCCACACAGGTGCTGCCAACCCAGTTAGGGAGATGAGGCAGCAGCTCCCAGCCAGCTTGGGTTGAACAAACTGGAGCCAGAGTGGGGAAGAAAAGAAGGAATAAGTGTAGATAAAGGCAGAGGCCCGGGGGGGGGGGGGGGGGGAGAAGGGCGACGGGCGCGGGGGGAAGGAAAGGCTGCAGATTCCCCACCAAATCTTTGATCACATGCCCCCTTCCCTGACAAGTGAGCTATTCCAGCCCAGGGGAGGTAGCAGCTCAGCTCTGACTTCAGACCAAGCTCAGGGCCAGTTCCAGAGCTGAACCTCTGCCTGCCCCAGGCCAATATTCAAATCCAAGATAAGGCTTCACCCGATGCTGATTTTGGGGAAGTGGTAGAACCTCACCCTGCATTCAAATAGATATGGTAAGTGGGGCACAGTAGATGTTAAAGTTTATGCTAAGTAATAAGAGCACAAACATTTAATACTCGATTTAGCTAATACTCAATAAAAACAGATTGAGTTTCCACATCTGGTATATAATCAATGAAATACTATATACATCATGAAGGGATTGAAAGCCTACTACATAATTTAGATTAACTGATCAACTGAAATAAGCAGGTTACAATGAAAATGTAAAAAATAAGGTACTAAAAATTTTTCCTAAAAGTGGTAAATCTAAAAAGACAAAGAGAACTAACAGCAACATTACAGGCAGTTTCTGTAAGCATGCTAGAAGCTGATGCTATTTTACTGTAAATATTAGATGTGGGTAAACAGGAACACAACTTTAAATTCAACAGTGATCCTTTTATTAAAATTAATACCAATATATCCATGCTTGTTTTCCAGACAGTTCTCTAACAGCTTACCTTATTCTTTAAGGATTGAAGAGTGTTATCTGCCCACTGTAGAGCTGAATTCATACTTAGGTCATTAGCTTTCAGTTGAATTAGCTGATGTTGGGCACAAACATATGCCATCTGCAACCTAATCATCTCGCATCTGTCCTCACGAACTTCATTATGCTCATCAGAAATGAACGAGTTACTTATATCTACAAGTTGAAAGTTTTCTTCTTTTGAACTTTCAACCAGTTCAGATATACCCTGAAAAAACTGTTTTTTTGTGTAGGCAGTAAGTGCTGCAGTACTTTGCTCTTCCTGACGCAAATATTTATCCAAGGCAAGTTGGGACAAAAACACTGGATGAGAACCTATTCCTTGTTCTGAATCTGAAGCGGTGAAGAAAGAAGTCAATTTCTTAACTCCTTCAGTAATAGACTGAAGCTCATTATTAATATTATTATTTGACATACTGAGAATTCCTTGTTTCTCTTTCAAAGTTTTAACTGCTTCTTCTGCTTCATCATTCAATTTTTGTAACATACGGCTGTTGCTGGAAGCCATCATTTGAAGCTTATTTCGACGATGAATTTTTAGGTTTTTCATCTTCTGAAGAGCTTGCAACTCATCCTCTAATTTCTGAAGTTCTCCTTCTTGCTGGCTATTGGCCTTTGAATCCAAGGACTTGCAAGTTTTAAGAACTTCATCCAAAGCTTTTTCTTCTAAAATAGGTTTACCAGATTTAAGAAGAGTCTTAAAATCTTGCAGTTCCTTTTCGGATAGCACATGCTGCTCATTCACATTTCCACAGAACCACTCCAAAAATGACCTCTCTTCCACAGTCTCAAACAGCCAATCAAAGTCTTCTCCATTAAGCTCAGCAGCTTTTGGATAACCAATTGCCTTGAGCCTTTCCACAAACTGATTCCCACAGTTCATGATTAAAAACCAAAATGTGTGTGTTATCTACCAGCAGCCTTAAAAAATATCCAAACAAAAGGAAAACCTGGAGCCTGCCTGCTATCCCAATGGTAAACACAAAGAAAAAAATGGTTTAAGAGAGACAGGTATTTTTACAAGTCATTCTGCACAGAATAAAACAAGCAACAGATTACCTAAGAAAACAGCCTACATATAAATATATACAAGTTCCCCAAAGTATACAAAACTAGATTAGACAGCCATGAATTAGCAAAATTGGTTTCTAGTAGGGCTGTCAATTAATCACCATTAACGCACATGATCAACACATGAATTGGTTCTTTCATTAATTTTCTGAATGGGTTAATCACTCTTACGGGTTTTTGGAGCCCGCACCCAGGCTCTACTCCACCATCTCTGGGCCAGCCAGCAGGGCAGCGGTGGCAGCGCAGAGGACCACAGGGTAGCCCAGGTGTGGGCTCCAGACAGCTACAGCAGGGAGTGGGGGGCTGCACACCACTTGTAAAGCAGTGCCACACCAGTAAGTCTGTGGAAGAGGAGGAGCAGGGTGAGAGGGAAGAGGGTGGGAGGGCAGATTGAGGCTCCCACAGTGAGGGAGGGAGTGGGGTAGGTGCTGGTGTGAATGGGGCCCGGGGCTGGTCATGGGATGAAGCCACAGGCAACTCATCCAGGGATGTGTAGGGCAGCTCCCCTCCATGGTGTGCACCCCCATGGGAGGCAGAGCAGATACATGCCCCCTGGACTTGTGTGCAGGGCACAGGTGGGCTGTCTGCTGCAGGCTGGGGCTCTGCGCCTTGCTGCCTCTGCCCTGGGAGCCATGCACTGGCCATGAGTCCCCTGCATGCCTGGCAGCAGGTGGCACAACATGGCATCATGTCATGACCATGACCTGGGTCCCATGCATCCCAGCACCTTCCCCACTCCCTCCCCCATGGCAGAGGCCTCAATTTGCCCCCCTCCCACACCTGCTCCCTCTCCCCCCTGCCCCTTCCCCTCCAAAGACTTACCACTGGGCACTGTCTCTCCTGCTCTGTGTGCATCTGTCTGCCCCTCACTTCCCCCCCAACCATACAAAGTACCAGTATAATTTTGAGTTGTTAGCTGTGTGATTAAAATCATAATTTGCTGCAGCTATTTTTTTTAACTATGCAACTAATTAAGATCACATTTTTAAATCATTTGATAGCCCTAGCTTCTAGCCAACATGTTTTTTCAGCTGCTTGGCAACAGTTAATATTGAATCAAGTCCAAATTCAGCACCTATTTCAACTCTACTAACATGGAAAATGGGACTGGGAGCCTACCTCCTGCTGACAGGATCAGAGAGAAGTTGGCCAGATGGGACCTCCAGAGCTCATCTTGACCCACCCGCTGCCCGAAGCGGGATCAGCCCTGTCCACACTATCCCATACAAACCATTGTCTAGACCAGGGGTGGGGAAACTCACAGCTCGTGGGCCAGATTCGGCATTATTTCATCTGGTCCATGGCAAATACAGTACAACCTATAAATCTGGCACTCAAAAATCCAGAACGGTTGCAAACCCGTCACTTTTTAAAAACACATTGGGCAGTAGCGCAGCCAGTCCCGCAGCACCGGCCGCAAGCAGAGCTGTGGTGCAGGTGTGCAAGCTTCTCCCTGCGGGGACGTGGGGGTAGCAGCGAGCAGGCTGCAGCCATCCAGCACCGTGCGGCAGCGGCTGCTCCCCGCCTGCTGGCTGCTACTCCCCAGCCCTCGGAGGGAGAAGCTTGCTGAAGTCCTGTAAGGAAAGTACGTGCCTTCCTACTTTCTAGAGTCAGCCATCAGGCTGAGGAAGTGGGCGAGTACAATGTTTTACATTTCTCTCTCAAAAAAAAAGTTGCTTTTTATGCGCGAGTGATTTTTCCTATGGGTCCGTGGCCTGCGAAAGGAAAAAGGTTCCCCAGCCCGGTCTAGACGCTGCATAAGGCTGCTGTCAGCCCTGACACAAG